AAATATAATTTCATTAACTTTAAAAAATTGATTTAAACCCGGTATTAAACATATGGTGTTGCTGCAGGACCAGAATTAAGATGTGGGATACTGTAAGACAAATGATGTTCTGCACACACATCTCTGGATATTACACTGCGCGTATCTGTCTTGCATGCAGTTTGCATGTGGCACGGATTTCTACGATGCCGCAATGATAAATACAACTCCAGTCTTTCAGTACCTTGTTGTACATTGATCGTCGTACCAAATAAAGATATCTTCTAATTTAATTACCGGTACTAATGACAACCCTTACAGAACCTTTACTTCCTGTAACAAAAAGTTTAATAAAGCGTCCAACGATCACTTTTAACCATACCCAAGGTCTGCTTCAAGTTAAAGAATGATCAAATTACAAAATCAAAATGCTTGAAATAGAACATTTTTGGACATTAAATTTAAAACGTTTAAAACATATAAAACAAACAGAGACTTAATGATTAGATATAAATGAATTCAGCATATACATATAAGGCAACCCCTGTGTAAGTATTATTTTAGGGTCCAGCATGACGGTAAATAATATACATTCAATGCACGTTAGCGTTGTCATGTTCCTCACACAAGTAATGCCAGGCATAGCATAATGTGTTACCTTCCTTAAAATTAACCCACTTTCCCATCAGGCAGGCCTGTCTGGCAAGTGGGTCATTTTTCAAGACTCCACAGTTTTATCCTTTTCTTGTCTTTAAAGCATAAATAATTATTATTCCAGATGTTGCATTTGAAATGATCACATAGTTTGGTGCAAGAGACCAGAAACATGGAAAGATTAGGATATTCAATTTTTTTGCCTCAAAACTGAATTTGATTCCATTGTTCTGTAGTCTTCATGCTGTATTCATGGCAATTTATGTGGCAATGACGTCATTGTCTTGAAAAGGTGTCCACTGTCATTTTTAAAGGCAGGACTTTAGATGAATTTTTAAAACGTGAATAAAATATAATGTATTATTCAAAACCCTCCGGATTTTCGATATGATCATACACAACACATATTGTATATTTAAGAAGAAATTCAAAAATTTATACATTCCTCATAATTGTCATTTTCTATTGTACCTTCTATTAGTGATTGTACTAGAACTGAAACATATCCTAATAATGTTAAAAACCTTCCTAGTCAGACAAATGATTATTATTGCAATTCCTGAGTGCGTTGATTGCTGAAGCACTGTCTGAGTAGATGGTAACTGCACTACCAGTAAAATTTGTATCTCACCATTGTATAGCCATATAAATGGCAAAAAGTTTCGTCTAGAATACAGGGCCCATCAGTGGACAAAAGGTCTTTGTACCCTGAACACTGGGAGTTCGGTCGTGGGTTTGCACCTTGCTCAGATGGTCTGGCCACGTGGAGTTTTCCAGGTTTTCTCCACATCTGTAACACCTAAATAGGGGCCAGTTTCCCTTAAAAAGAACTCCTGGAAGGCTTCCCCCTAGGCAAGTGTTGCATTGCCCTAACTTAACAAACAAACAAACTGGAATACAGAGAAATCAGGATGAAGAGAGCCAAAGTTATGATGAATTTCCTCCTCGTTAGAAAAAACAACAAAGGAAGAGCCAGTGCCTATGCACACTTTCAACCATCCCTGAAGATGTATATTCAACAGCCCTTGTAGAGAATGAGTTGATCTCACAAGTGATTAACTAGTAACAAGATCCCATTTATAGTAACAAGTAACAAGTGCCCACTGTCGCAAAAGCTTGTGCACATCATTTATAGATTGAATGCCACTATTATTTCTGCAACCACTTCTCTGTTTCCCGAGTAAAGAATATTGATGTTTATAGAAACACGAAACAATAGATAGATGCCTGCAAGTCTTCCACGAGAAATAATTCTGCATTCAATTAGTCATAACTCTCTGGTCAATTAGCCATGATGACTCACAGAACGAAACAGTTAAAAGGATTGCATTGCCCTTTCAAACACTACATTTGTGGCAAAATTTATCAAAAATGGCGAGAGACATAGGTGTACTGTACTGTTCATTGGTTCCTTGTAATTTATTTGTATGGCTGTAATCAAGGAAGATTTTGATTATATGTGATGAAAATCTTAAACTTTTTTTAAGCCACTAGCAAAGCGATTTTCGTTTATAGCCCTTTTTCTCTCACTAAAGAGAAATGATGATATAAATTCTTATAATGTAGTTGACTTTCATTTATAGATCCCAGTTGGAGGAAATCCGTGGCAAGCCAGTGTGTTTGCAGCGTTAGAGGTGGCCAGGTTCCAGTCTTTTAATTGTCACTAAAGATAAATCAGAAATAAGACTATATCAAGAACATCAATTCTTTAAATAGTCACAAAACTAACAGTAAATTCATTTTTCCTTTCTTAATTAATCCAAATTCTTTTATTTGTAGTTAAGATTTTAAAGCATGATAGCAATTTTTTATATCCGAGTCATTGGTTTTAATGTTTAACAGAAATATAATTTCATTAACTTTAAAAAATTGATTTAAACCCGGTATTAAACATATGGTGTTGCTGCAGGACCAGAATTAAGATGTGGGATACTGTAAGACAAATGATGTTCTGCACACACATCTCTGGATATTACACTGCGCGTATCTGTCTTGCATGCAGTTTGCATGTGGCACGGATTTCTACGATGCCGCAATGATAAATACAACTCCAGTCTTTCAGTACCTTGTTGTACATTGATCGTCGTACCAAATAAAGATATCTTCTAACTTAATTACCGGTACTAATGACAACCCTTACAGAACCTTTACTTCCTGTAACAAAAAGTTTAATAAAGCATCCAACGATCACTTTTAACCATACCCAAGGTCTGCTTCAAGTTAAAGAATGATCAAATTACAAAATCAAAATGCTTGAAATAGAACATTTTTGGACATTAAATTTAAAACGTTTAAAACATATAAAACAAACAGAGACTTAATGATTAGATATAAATGAATTCAGCATATACATATAAGGCAACCCCTGTGTAAGTATTATTTTAGGGTCCAGCATGACGGTAAATAATATACATTCAATGCACGTTAGCGTTGTCATGTTCCTCACACAAGTAATGCCAGGCATAGCATAATGTGTTACCTTCCTTAAAATTAACCCACTTTCCCATCAGGCAGGCCTGTCTGGCAAGTGGGTCATTTTTCAAGACTCCACAGTTTTATCCTTTTCTTGTCTTTAAAGCATAAATAATTATTATTCCAGATGTTGCATTTGAAATGATCACATAGTTTGGTGCAAGAGACCAGAAACATGGAAAGATTAGGATATTCAATTTTTTTGCCTCAAAACTGAATTTGATTCCATTGTTCTGTAGTCTTCATGCTGTATTCATGGCAATTTATGTGGCAATGACGTCATTGTCTTGAAAAGGTGTCCACTGTCATTTTTAAAGGCAGGACTTTAGATGAATTTTTAAAACGTGAATAAAATATAATGTATTATTCAAAACCCTCCGGATTTTCGATATGATCATACACAACACATATTGTATATTTAAGAAGAAATTCAAAAATTTATACATTCCTCATAATTGTCATTTTCTATTGTACCTTCTATTAGTAATTGTACTAGAACTGAAACATATCCTAATAATGTTAAAAACCTTCCTAGTCAGACAAATGATTATTATTGCAATTCCTGAGTGCGTTGATTGCTGAAGCACTGTCTGAGTAGATGGTAACTGCACTACCAGTAAAATTTGTATCTCACCATTGTATAGCCATATAAATGGCAAAAAGTTTCGTCTAGAATACAGGGCCCATCAGTGGACAAAAGGTCTTTGTACCCTGAACACTGGGAGTTCGGTCGTGGGTTTGCACCTTGCTCAGATGGTCTGGCCACGTGCAGTTTTCCAGGTTTTCTCCACATCTGTAACACCTAAATAGGGGCCAGTTTCCCTTAAAAAGAACTCCTGGAAGGCTTCCCCCTAGGCAAGTGTTGCATTGCCATAACTTAACAAACAAACAAACTGGAATACAGAGAAATCAGGATGAAGAGAGCCAAAGTTATGATGAATTTCCTCCTCGTTAGAAAAAACAACAAAGGAAGAGCCAGTGCCTATGCACACTTTCAACCATCCCTGAAGATGTATATTCAACAGCCCTTGTAGAGAATGAGTTGATCTCACAAGTGATTAACTAGTAACAAGATCCCATTTATAGTAACAAGTAACAAGTGCCCACTGTCGCAAAAGCTTGTGCACATCATTTATAGATTGAATGCCACTATTATTTCTGCAACCACTTCTCTGTTTCCCGAGTAAAGAATATTGATGTTTATAGAAACACGAAACAATAGATAGATGCCTGCAAGTCTTCCACGAGAAATAATTCTGCATTCAATTAGTCATAACTCTCTGGTCAATTAGCCATGATGACTCACAGAACGAAACAGTTAAAAGGATTGCATTGCCCTTTCAAACACTACATTTGTGGCAAAATTTATCAAAAATGGCGAGAGACATAAGTGTACTGTACTGTTCATTGGTTCCTTGTAATTTATTTGTATGGCTGTAATCAAGGAAGATTTTGATTATATGTGATGAAAATCTTAAACTTTTTTTAAGCCACTAGCAAAGCGATTTTCGTTTATAGCCCTTTTTCTCTCACTAAAGAGAAATGATGATATAAATTCTTATAATGTAGTTGACTTTCATTTATAGATCCCAGTTGGAGGAAATCCGTGGCAAGCCAGTGTGTTTGCAGCGTTAGAGGTGGCCAGGTTCCAGTCTTTTAATTGTCAACATCTGTAGAAATACACAGTAAACGCCGATGGGGATAAATTCCTGTAATTAGTAGGATGATACCATAGCAAAAAACAGTGGGAATTACCCAACAAATTTGGGTAAATTTTGGCCGGTTATCGATATTTGATTATATGTGGATGACATAATAAATGTATTACCTGAGATAATAAGTTAAATGCATACATGTTTGGTGTATTATCCATTTTTCTCTTCTTATTTTGCTTTGTGTAAAAGATCCCAACCCTTTTTCAAATATAGTTCTTCAAAAGCTGGAGTGGGCTTTCCTGGGCCCCTTTGGATCACAAATTTTTCCATAGGTACCAGAAAATCCTGTAATCCAATACCAGTAATGATTGTACCGCTAAAATGAAGTCAATAGAATTGGCTTGTTTTGTACCAAAATATATCGAGTAATAAATATGTTTTGGTATGGAATCCGACAGAAGTCACAACGTAACTAAGACATTTTTGTTAAATTGACGAACCTCAATTACAAGTTCCCACTCAGAAATTTTGATGATGCACACCTTTATCCAGAAGAATCTTCTGAAACTTGGGCTCTCACCCCAAAATCTTTCTGGCAGATATTATACAATGAGATAATTGATTAACATATAATAAAGTTTGAAATTAAAGAAATAATCTGGTTTTATCGCTCGTATTTTATTTATGCTGGTAAACTTGTTTACGCCAAAGGCTATTGAAAACTTACACTTCATGGTACAGTACATTGACCTGAAATGCCGCAATTAAACTAAGAATATCAAATTACAAACCAATGTATTAATTAATGAGAACAAATGGTGCCGTAATAGTTTGTACTTCCGATGCTTCAGCATAATTTTACACAATAATTGGTGCCTTGATAAATGATATTGTCAAACTAAAAATGTATTTTTTTGATAAATATTAATAATAAATGGGCATTTTAAATGGTGTTTACAGAATTTAAATTTAATCATTTATTTTAAATTTATAATTGAAGTTAAATACTGTGTTAGAAAAAAGGCCAAACCTTCATTTTAATTATTGTAGAATATTTCCTTCTGGTAGAATTCTTCTAGTAGTGTTATGTGAGTTAAGTTAATGTAAATAGAGTTAATTGAGAGGGTTATCGTCCGGGCAACAAAGATTCTTCAGGGCCCATTTTTTGTTTTCTATCTCCTTTAGAAGTCTGGTGTATTCGTTTACCAAATTGGTAAAACTGGGTCCCAATCTCTCATACATTTCCAGGGTGGAATGAGCGCTCTTCAATTCCGACTTAACGCAGTCTTCTTCTTCTTGTAACTTATTCCTGAGAAAATCAAAAAGTTTCCATTGAATCATTTGTAATACAATAATAATTATACCAGAGTTAATTTACAGAATAATGTCAGATTTTTCCTCAATGTCCTCTTTTAAACCAGTCTTTGAATTTCTTTGATTAAGAAAACAAAGAAATTGCCAGGAGCGAGTCCGGTGAATGTGGAAAACAATGAGGGACCTCAGCTTCCGTCCTAACTCTAACCGCATGGTATTGGTAGCCTGTGTTTTAGAATAATTGTGATGAAGAGGATACCTATTCAACTTGACAAGTTCTGGACTTTGAATAATGGTGAGATTCTCAAATGCCATTTGTGACAGAGTTGTTCCTCCCAGTATAAAATATGCAAGTACAGTAGAGCCTCGATTATCCGACTCAATTGGGGACTGGGGTTGGTCAGAAAATTGAAAAGTCGGATAACCGAAAAGTATGAAAAAATCTATTATTAGTGTAGTATATTATTATATCCCATGTAATTAGTATATTAGTATATCGCTATTAACCTACTTCGCATTGAATTTTCTTCGATGTTAAGTCTAACAAAAATTTTTTTAAATAATAATCGTTGCTATTGTATCGTTAAAAATTAGAAAATTAAGCCTTGTTTAAATACTGGCTCCCTTTCATGGTCGAATGAGTGTTGCCAGCTAAAACACATAAAAATAATATTAAAGTAGCCAAGACATAGCCAAGACAATATTGTAGCGCCACATCACTAGCAGACATTTGAAATTTGCCGACTAGGACGGTCGGTTAATCAGGGGTCGAATAATCGAGGCTCTACTGTACATGTTTTCTATCCCAAGGAACAGAAATAAAACAACTGCATTGGTCCACATGACTATTACTTTAAAACGATCCTCATTTATAGATTAATAATAATAATATATAAAAATAAAGTCAAAACTGATGGGAAAGGTTGAATCCTAAGGAGAGTTGTGGTAAGCCTTCGAAGAGGATGCAACCAATATAATTTCCCATAAATTTGGACAGAGATAAAGCACGAGAATTATTCTGCAAATTAAATGATAGGCCAGTATGTAAATAACATATTGCTTACCTAATAATTATTAGGGCACTTATAGCTTCTTCTGTGTAGGTTTCGCATAGTAATTTCATCTCCAAAATCCTGAAATAATCAAATAAAGCATCAAAAATCACCTTTAAATTGATTAAAATTTAATAGTTTATACATTGATGTGTATACAAACTTGTCTTTAGATCAAGTTATTCAGAAAAGTTGAACTTTTGGATAAAAATATTCATGTTTTTAAATTCAAAAATTACTTTATGAAAAAACCATTTTCTAGTTATATTTTTTCCCAGAAATTTTAAAAACTTCTTATTTTAATGAATGTATTATCTAACAATTAATACTGTATATACAGTGGTCCAAATTTAACCTATCGAGTTTATTGCCCTATTACAACCAAACAATGAGTTATGTACAAATCTTACTCAAATATCATTCAAATGGACATAGTAAATTACTTTATATTATGGTATATTCAATACTTCTGCCCATGACTTAGATCGTGTTAAAAAGTTTGACCTTGCTGCATAAAGAATGACTCTGAAAAACAAAAATTTCATATTTGATACGATCAAGCCCCTCTAAAATCTTCCAAGATAGTTTATATACTCTGTCCCAGTGACGACTCCACAGAAGGAAGTCTTCAGGATTTGGATATAAAAAGTATGTGAGTCACTCAATTCCCTTCCGTAGCATTTTCCACCATGCTAAGAGACCAGAGTTAAAGGCAAATCTATTAAATATGCTTGAATATGTAGCCTGTTCAGAAATCAGCCTCTAATTGCATGGTAAGAAAATGTGGTTGATTGCAGTGCCACGGCACAGGTATAGAAATAAGCTGTCATGTGTTGGCTTATGTAACATCATGCGATTGGTTAGTGTTTGGTGCATAGTCTGTAGCAAGCAGAGAATGATGACTGGTATAATTGAAGTTCAAATGTGAAGTTTACATTGTAATTCACTTTTGCAAGTTAAAGACTGAAGTGCAGCTGAAATCCATTGCAGGATGTCGTATATGAAAGAAAGTTCATAAATGGAAGTTGTGTAAAAGAATGATGCCAGAAATTTCAATATGGAACAAACAGATGTGCATGATGAAGGTGGGCAAAGAAGGCAATCTGTGGTGACTGATGATGACCTTGTTGAACGACTGACAAAGTGATTCATGAACAATGCCGCTTCACAATATCAGAACTGTCTTGTGAATTTCCTGCAATTGGGTGAACAACACTACAAGATTGTGACTTCAACTCTACATTATCACAAGTATTGTGCCAGGTAGGTTTTCAGACAACTCACAGATCACAGAATGAAATGAATAGGGTCAATATTTCATTTTTTGCAATGAAGAACACAGGTGGCAACACTTTTCTGGTCGAGATCATCACATGACAACAAAACATGGTTTCACTTAAATATGCAAAGGAACAATCAAAACAGCGGATGTATACAACCTTGCCAAAGAAACCTAAGAAGCTTAAACCAACATTATCAAACAAGAAGCTAATTTATGATCCCAAAGACTGTACAGTCTTTGGGATCATAAAGGTAGTATTACTGATATAGTTTATGGTGTAAGGCAGTGATGGGCAAACTTTTTAAAGAGCGGGCCAAAGGAAAACAAGAAAACTTTAGGCGGGCCAATATAATTGTAACCTAGCTCTGCATCTGAAAATCCAGGTGGCGCTATAAAAACATGTGCAGGCCGTCCGCCATATTTCTATTTCTCTCTTTCGGCTACGCTACGCACGACGAGTGGATGTTCTGTACCGAAGCATGCTTGTAACCGATCGAGCTTTTACTCAATAAGTGTAAAACAAAATTTTGTACATGATTGTAAATAAACTTTCATGGTGAGATATAAAGCTTCGGTTATTTTGTATAATCAACGAACACTCAAGTTAAGTGGTGCATCAACCACCACTGCCTGTATTCTTTTTTACTCGTCAGATTAGGAATAATGTTGCGCGGGCCGGATAGAACATTTCAGGGGGCCGCATCTGGCCCGCGGGCCGTAGTTTGCCCATCACTGGTGTAAGGTATAGTACAACCATTACTGCAGATGCATATTGCAAAATCCTTAAAAAGCTTTAATGGGTAATTCAGAACAAAAGCAAAGCATGTTGACCTTGGGCATTGTTTTGGTCCATGACAGTGCACGCCCTCAAACAGGTGCATGCACAAAAGAGTTACTCCAACAGTTTTGACCCACCCACCCTACTGCTATGATCTTGCACCAAGCAATTATAATTTTTTAACAAAAATGAAAATTTGGTTGGGGTTGCAGCAATCTGACAACAATGAAGAGCTGATGGAAGATGTTCAGGAATGGCTGACATCTTTGGCGACAACCTTCTTCGAGCAAGATATACAGATGGTATCACGCTATGACAAACTATATGGCAATTATGTTCAAAAATAGTTTATGTATGTGTGCAACTTTTATAATAAATATAGTTTTCATTTTTACCAAATTTATTTCATGCCTCTTAAAGGTTGATTTTCAAATAGCCCTCATATAAATGGTTTCAAATGCTTATTTGAGTATATTTGCATACATTATTATTCAGGTGTAATAAAGCATCAAATTTGGTAGGTAGATTTTGAGATATCCTTTATATTCTACATATTAATGGTTAGATCTAACTATGATCATTATTTGTTAAATTATAATCATAATTAATATATGTTAAACAAAAATTCACTCAACATAGCAACTTGTCATAATTAATGAAATTTGAAGTTTCTTAAGGATTCACAAATAATCATAAATAATTCTGTAAAATTTTGGGTTGAGCATTATACCTAATTATTTAATAGATCTTGAAACAATGTGACATCAAAACATGCTATAAAACTACTAATATTTGATTGGAAAATTATAAATACAATTCATACCTGAGTTTCTGTAACAAACCGTGAGCTTTATTTGATAAGTAATCAACTTTTGTTGAATAATAGTTTATGTGGGAGCCATATTTATGTTGAAAATATAATTTTTTTAAAAGTTCTACACTCTCAGTCAGAACCTAAAAAAACCATTGTTTAAATACACCAATTTTTATATTTTATTTAAAATATTAAATAAATCAAAACAAACTTGATGATAGTTGTGTATTATGGAGAGACGTTCCACCATATCTCTTGCCAGCCATCCTCGTTCTCTCTCCAAATTCTTCGTGTCTGCTTCCAGCAATGAAGGAAGTTGATTTATTTGAGAAGAGTACAGTTTATCACTTGTTTCTGTGTGTTAAAACTAATTAATAAATAATTTTGAAGAAATAAATAAGAAAGCACAATATTTTGCTCACCTATTCCATAGAATTCTAGGACATATTTGCATTTTTTAATTATGAATTCTTCTAATTTAGGGATAATAATTTCTTTTACTTCCTGTTAAATCCAAAATAAGAACAAAATGATTAAATATTTACAAACTTATAAATGAAATAAATAATAGTTAATGTTTTGTTAAAATTTTCTTTTAACAAGAACATACCTCCTCCGTTATTCGTGAAGTTGTTTCCATGACAAAATTGGGTGTTAAATCTAGTAGTTTAACTTCGCTTTGAACCCATTACAATGAAGAATTTTCACCACAGAATATTCTTAGCTAAGAAAGGAAAATTTAGAAACAAAAAGTGCAGCTATTAGACTTAATTACAGTATAGAAGATATTACTGCCAAGCTATGAACATTAAACATACTAAAGATAAATCAGAAATAAGACTATATCAAGAACATCAATTCTTTAAATAGTCACAAAACTAACAGTAAATTCATTTTTCCTTTCTTAATTAATCCAAATTCTTTTATTTGTAGTTAAGATTTTAAAGCATGATAGCAATTTTTTATATCCGAAGTCATTGGTTTTAATGTTTAACAGAAATATAATTTCATTAACTTTAAAAAATTGATTTAAACCCGGTATTAAACATATGGTGTTGCTGCAGGACCANTCTAATTTAGGGATAATAATTTCTTTTACTTCCTGTTAAATCCAAAATAAGAACAAAATGATTAAATATTTACAAACTTATAAATGAAATAAATAATAGTTAATGTTTTGTTAAAATTTTCTTTTAACAAGAACATACCTCCTCCGTTATTCGTGAAGTTGTTTCCATGACAAAATTGGGTGTTAAATCTAGTAGTTTAACTTCGCTTTGAACATCTTCCAAATATTTACAAATTTCTGCACTTCGTATTCTTTCTGTTACCTTATAAAAGACCTAAACGAAACAAGTAACACACAGTATATAAATATAAAAAAGTTATTGAAATAAGTTATAAATCCATACTTGAAATAAATTTTAAAATATTTTTTAAAATTTATCTCGAGTATATTTGATTTTTCTCCTATAACAATTTAATACATCTAACAATTCTGTAGTATCGTCCGAGTTTCATCAGGATGTCTGTAACATTTCGCAATCATTTATTTATGCTGCAAGATCAATATACAACACAAATCAAATTATTAAGGTCAGAATTGCAAAAAACTGTGGTTAAGAAAAGTAAAGATAAATATTTTTGTTGTATTCATATTATCTCATTTTATTATTGCTTAAGAGTTTATACTGAAACAATATTGATGCCGTTAGATTCATCTTCAATCACAAACATACTGTATAGGAAATCTTTACTCATTCAAAACTGCTTAATTTGGATGTCAATCACTTGTGATTCTTTTGAATCTCAATTCCTTAAATGCCAACACACTATCTCTAAACTTCTAATGACCGACAGTCAAATAGTTGAAGTGGTTAGAATGAATGCATACTATTCAGAGGGATCCAGATTCTAGTCTAACTCGGATAATAGTAACTCTAAATAAGTTGGTAATGTGAGAAATTTGAATTTGGCACAATTCCCCAACCTCCATCTGCAGTCCTTTGCAATAAGTGCTTCATACATCAATAGGTGGCAGCATGGCATTGTTTTTGAAAATGGCTAACATTAGCATGAGTATAAGATGGTAAACTGTGATAGAATTCCTCATTGCGGAAGATGAAATGCCAATTCACATTCATGAAAGGCTGAAGGGTGTTTATGGGGATGCAAAAGTGGATATCAGCACCGTTAGATGCTGGATTTATCACCGTACAAAACTGAAGGAAAAACCCCATTGGCTGATAAGCAGACCAGCCGACCAGTCACTGCAGTCACTCCATAGAACATACAACAAGTTGATGAAATCATTCATGCTGTCCACCAAGTAACAACTGATGAGTTGTGCCACATGCTTTCCATTGGTAGTGTGATGGCCATTATAGATAAACTGAGCTACTAAAAGGTTTGTGCCTGTTGGGTAAAAATTATGACAGGAGATAAGGCTTGGATTCATTTTCAAGAGACAGTTGATGGAATAGCATTATACATAATCACTAAGAAAGAAAAACTTGAAAAGTATGCAATCTGCATGGAAAGTTATGGTAACAGTTTTGGGATGTGGAGAGTCTTGTGCCCTTTTTAAGGCATGGGTCCACAACAAATTTTGTTCAATATGTCAGCATCCTGAAAAAGCTTAAAGCACATCTTCAGTGAGTTTGCTCAACAAAAGCTCTAATGGATGTTCTTCTTTTGCATGACAATGCAAGACCATACATCAGTGCACAAACAACTCATCAAATTGCAAAAATTAAATAGGAACCATTCAATTTTTACAACCCTGACCATCAGACTACCATCTGTTTGGACCACTAAAGGATGCTCATTAAGCACATCACTTTGAAGATGAGGAGACTGAAAAATTCCATATGCCAATAACCAAAGAACAGTGAAGTGAAGGAGAGAAGAACAGTGATTTTTATTATGTAAGAATGCATGCCCTTGTTAAAAGATGGACAAAAACCTTTGAAAATAAAAGAGACTATATTGAAAAATGAGAACTTAATCATGCAAGTTGTGGCTACTTGCTGTGTAAATTTCATTAAGTTTTCTTGTAAAATAAAAGAGAAACCAAATAGGTGGCATTACTTCCTCACTGACCTTCAGAACTTTATTTCTGATTCGAAATAGTTATTTGTAAATTTATTTTGACATAAAAAAGAAGTCGTAAATAAAAAAATTAAAAATAATTTCTTTTAAGGAAAAATATTCTACTGACCAATATAAAAAGAATTAACAAATTCAATAAAATAAAGTCAGATCTAAAAATTATCTTCATAGTTTCTAAAATGAAATGATGTTATAAATTTAAATCAATTCCAAATATCTTCAACCAACAATATCATAAAGTACTCAGCAAATTTTTTATGTTATTGCTTATTTAATTTTTAATTTGAATTTTGTATTCTATTAAAGGAATGCTTTAATTCCAATTTCGTTTTCAACCTGAGGATGGCCTGTAAATCAGGCTGAAAACGTTTGTTTTTCAAATAAATATATTTCTTGGCAAAGATATTTATTTATGCATTTATTATTATGTTATTTATGCATATCTTCAACCAATTTCAAATATAAAATTAGCAAACTCTCTTATCATCATAAATTGTGGCTATAGAACCATACACAGCAATGAAACCCTAATTTTCCAAAAAAGGGATTTGAATATTAGACCAAACTTCAATTATCACTAAACATTTGATATTTTATATAACCATTTTGGAATGTTACATATCTTCTTATGGTCTGAAATAAAATGTGTTGAATATAACAATGCTTTATTACTAAAACACCTGCAAAATTTAGAGTTAGCCACATCTGTGTTTTTAAATTTTATATTTAAAATTTAATTAGAAATTTAAACCAGAATAATTAAAACTCAACATTTTTAACTTAAGAAAATGGTTAAATACACTTAAATCTAGAATTTATCTTATTTAATTCAGTCATTATACAAATAACAATTGTTTGAGACAAAAAACAATATACCCTTTGTTAATAATTTAACAAAGGGTATATTAACTGCTTGCAAGTGTCATATGAACATATGTAAACTGTAAACACCAATTTACTGGACTGTTTTTTTCAATTTATCAATTGAAAAGTAATTAATAGTTGTTCTTTCCAGTTTATAGAGCCATCTACTTTTGTGTGGCTTTATGTGTGTACATAAAATATAATTTACTTACTTTATTTTCCTTACTATCAGAGTTTTTATTAGCCATTTGATTTATGCTAAGATCCTGTAAGGCATCGTAGACTATCTGCTGTTCGAAAAAAGAGGCTCGAGCCTGTTTCAATTTGTCCTCCGCCTATAATAATATTAAGGATTGTCAAATAATTCTTTCTATTTATATTTTATTTATTTTTTTATAATTAGAAATACAAACAATCAAAGTAATTTTTAGGCACAAAAAACAGACCTCCTTTTCTTCTCTGCTCGTGCAAAAATTCCCATTTTCGTCGGTCAGTCGTCTGCACAGATCCGACAGCAAGATTCCGAACTGCTTATTTTCCTCTATAACGTCGACGGGTACGGGCACCAACAACAGACTCGATGCTAACATTGAAAATAATTTTTAATAGTTTGTTGAAAAACACAAATTTAAACATCTTTAACCATATCAAATTTTTCTAATCTGCAATTTGTTTCCTTATTTATAAGTTACAGATGAAAATCTTTTTAAATTATAAATAATCATATTCCAAAATCATATCTTCTTTTAAGAATTCTTTACTTCACAACTGATAAAACATCTTTAACATCACTCTTTATTCAGTGTGTAAGATATTCCCGAATAAAGAGCAATGCGTACTAATCACTAAAAACGACAGCCTGCATCCAAATTTCCCGCAACTGCATCAAACTTCCCGGTTCGATTCGACCTCAAATCCATCGATGGTAGGCAGACACTTTACCGAGATGCCCAGGATCTGTACATTTGGAAGAATCATTTGACAAAGAGGATTGTCATCTTTTAATTTTTAAAATCTGAGAATAGTTTATATCCTAAAACAGCTGCAAAATCAAGAAATACTTTGAATTTTTAACAAATTAAATGAAGAATTAATCTGACATTTAGAAAATATACACAGTATTGTGTATATTGTCTAAAAGTCATATTAATTCTTCATTTTATGATTAAAAATTCTCTTAAATTCAGATTTGAATCATTATATTATAATAGATTATCTTGTTAAAAATTCATTTAAGAATTTATATGTTTATGACACTTTTAATATGATTTCAGTGTTGAATTGTGAAGGAAATGGTGACAAAATGGTAGAAGTTACTCATAAGCCATTTGTATATACACTGGTTTATATAGACAGTAAATAAAATTAACTTGTATCAAGTACATTACAGCTAAATATGGTTTATATTCTGTATATTATCTGTATTTAATAAGGTAAACGTCATATAATGACGTAAAATTTCAAATTTGTAAAGAAAAACAGACCTGTGTTAGCCGTTTCCACGCTGGAAGGGTCGACCACGTTTGAATTATGCGCCATTTTCTAATCATAGACATCGACACTGTGATAAAATTTAAAAATTAAAAACGACAAATATCGAATTAATTTCAACTTTTACTATATTATTCACCTTATAATTTTTATCGTAATATTTTTTAAAATAAATTCCGATAATTTCTATTTCATTCATGCATTACTTTATTACATTTATCGAGTTTTAATTAATTACGTTTTATCTAATAAATAAATTCTAAAATTTTAAAAAGTAATTTTATAACACGAATTTAAGTTTTATTTTAAATAATATGTATAAAATGTCAACGTTGATTCGATTTTAATATTTATGGTTTTGAATTCGCACCTCCAGATGGAGTCACGCGTCGTAGGCTATTGTAATTTTTGATGTCGCACAGAACACGTGACACGGAATCACACGCATTACGAAAATAAAATTTATTTCGCTGTTTATACGCATGGAAGCTCAGGGAAGGATAATTTTATTTTCGTTATCATACTATTCTCTACGCTTTTATAGTATTAAAAGGCGCAGAAACCGCATCATTCTTATTTAACTGACGTCCTTGAGATTTTCGTTCGAGTAGACGTCCTTATAAAACTTTCGTAATTCCAGGAAACTTCGTTAATATCGTACGTCTTTCTTAAATTAGCCTTTCGCAGGAAATGCCGCAAAACAATCGAACAAACATCACGTTTATCTAACTGTCCAGCTACTCGGGTTCCACTCGTTTCCTCCTTCGAAGAAGTAACAAAAAACACCAAAATAAATTGTGAAAGAATAAGCTTTTAGAAGACATTTATGTGGTAGAATTTGGAGATGAATAGAAGAAGCTTGGCTCAAAATCTTATTAATCTAAACCTTAAATTAGAAAAGTCTTCTGTGTGTAAACTTCTACGCAAATGGATAATGTTAGCCTCTTCGAATCTCTTTGTTTATGAAGAAATGTGAAAATATTTCTAAAAATTTAAATAAATTCGTCATTGGTTATGGTTTTCCTCGGGTAAAATTATCTGTGACGTCAAGTTAAGGAAGAAATACTACCAAATTCTGTATTTTATAGCTAAGAAAACATAAATATAATTGATAAAAAGCTATTTTACCATTTGCTGTTGATTTTATAAAACATTAGAATTACTTCTACAAAAGTACAATAATAAATCTTAATACAATTCGCGGAATAGTAACAAAATATGAGAGTTTCCTTCAGTATATATTACACAAATAACGTAAAATATACACGACCTCCTCGACTGATTAACTCGTTACTTTTTTATCGAATCCTTCTTAAATCCTTCGTAAATATCACGTTACTTATCCTTTTTTTTTTTTTATTTCTATCTCTCGAAATTGTTGACGTATTTCACACGAAAAATTTCGTGACGAAACTGTTTTTCGTAACTAAAGTAACACGTTTAATAATTATCCAATCGAATCGTTTATTTTATCGATTCACTCGATCAGTCACGAACGTTCGTGACGTTCGATCGTCCATATTTATATCACTGTCGAATAAGCGGAATTTAGTGCCACGAGGTTAACTCACGTGTGGGATGTTCCCCTTGTCCTAAACATAAATTCCCTTCTCCTCTACTTGTCCTACTGTATTTTCAACATAAAAAAAGGCTTTAAAGATATACATAACCCTTTTAATTTTTAAGGCCCAATGTGTTTATGAATTTCAAAGGGTTACAGCTATAAATTCGTCTTGTATAAAACATGTATAGGCTCCCCGCGGGTGAGATCCAGGAATGATATATGCGGGTTAAACGGAAAAGCTGACATTTTACTCTCGGTAGGGATTTTGTAATAAATTTTACGACTTTTATCCCTAGATAATAGTTAACTTTCACGCGACAACACCTGATCTCGACAGGGATGCGGTGCAGATGTACGATGAGGATGTTGCCCGTTTTATTCTAATTAATATATATTCTAACGAGGTTAAACTAGTTGTGACAGAGTTTTGACCCCCAGAAAGATTTATATATCAAATAAATATATCTTAAGATAAGAGTCTTAGAAGGATATCTTTAAGGAAAACATTCCCAACAGGAAATACAGTAGCTGATATCAGTAAAGCGATACGAGATAAAGAAATATAATTGATTGCATACATCACTTCCGGCTTATATATATATATATATATGATATATAAGCGCTGATCAAAGTAGAACAACTGTGAAGAAATTCGAAATGTCCTAAAAACATAAGTCAAAAGGGATGCAGGCGGTAAAGGGGCGATAAAAGTAAATTATCCCCGTGTTCGACGGTCCGAAGAAACCACTAAAATCTCTCCATTTCCCCTTTCAAAACCACCAGATGGGTGATCGATGATAACGCGAACGTCCCGGCTTGGCTACACACAGACACACATACACACACACACACACACACCTACCCGGCATCAAACGATCAGGTTGGAGGCAGCAGCCACGTGCTGCAGAAGCCGGCCAGTCCTCGCTGCGGGCGGCCGCTTACCAAGATGGTGCAGCAACTGGGCTTCGTTACCTGCGCGATGTGGTTCCTACTAAATTTGGTAGTTTCGGGGGTGGAATGCGTTCGACTCTACAGGGTGGAAGACGAAAAGTCGGATACGATCTTGGAAAATAGCATACAATTCGGAAAATATGCTCATCAACCGTGAGTAGTCTCTTATCGATCCATTATTTTTCGATCATATATATATACCTCGCGGGAGTAAACGCTCCGATTGTAGTAAGATTTTAAACTTTATTATATTATCAAAACTGTTATATTTTAAAATATGCTAAGCTTGGATATTATTTTACTACGTAATTTCAGCCTTCTTACGTATTTAATATCGTAATAATTTTATATTTAAGCACGAAAATAACTTTACATAAACTTTACCCCTAAATCCCCTAAATTAAACGATTAAATTCCTCCAGACGTAATTAATTTAAATAATTGTATTCCTTAACCCGGTATTATTATACATTATCTCTAACCACACCCGAAAATAATGCTTTATTGGGCTCGAAACCTCCATTAAATATAATTTTTTGGATCGGTTTAGGTTCGATTGCGAATATTTCATCCCTCCTTTCGTATTTATTTAACTGTATATTATTAATATTTATAATATTCTAAGCACTTTTCTGTGTAATAAACAAAATAATCACGTCTCCAGATTTTTCTTTATATAAAAAAATCCAATAAATATATCAATATGGCAGATTTCGCTTTATCTTTTAAGCTAGTAAAATTAAAATTTTATCCATTTAATATCGTAGATAATTAATATTATTATTTAATAATATAATAACGAGAGATATAAACATCAAGCATTACTCCGATCGAACCTAATCTCGATGAGTCGCCTATACACCTGCCACTTCCTTAAACGAATCGATGCTCATTGTAAACAACTTCGCCATCCAGATTACCTTGATCTTGTCTACCTTTCTCCCTATTCGTGGCCTTCTATTATCACGTTTATAAACCATCCCACGGAAGGTAGCGGCACATAAATGATAAATAAACTCATAAATTGCAGAAACAATTTTTGTCGGGTTCCTCCTCCTTCTCCGACATCATTTTCCCAGTGTATAACGGCTGATGAAACAATTCATTTTTGCGTTTCCTCTCGACGTATACGTGACAGAATACAATTACTACGGGACGACCCCCTACAACGCAGAAGACAACGTCAGACTTTCTTTTTTTTTTTCGCTTCTGCTTTGTTTTGTGGGGCAATTGGTTTCGTGATGCGTGAAATATTGATATTGTTATACAAGCAGTTACGTCAAAAGTCACGTAATTACGAGCGATCTCTCTCTCTCTGTGTCCAGGTCTTCTCTCTAAATTACGCTTCAACTAGGATAGGCGGATGATTTTTTATGAGAAATCTACCGAATAATCGAGTTTGTGCTTTTCGTGTACCAACTGCGATAACTAAAATTGATCCGAAACTATGAATTTCGGTACATTACGACACGGAATCTTACACCAATCGTGTGGTTTATATAGCGAAGACGTGTGTAGTTTGGTAGTCGTTTAACACAATTTTTACATCAGATTTCTTCTTGATGTTTCTCGCTACACTTTCCAAAATTTACATAATTTGGGAGGAACTTATTATATTTACACTCTACCCTTACTTATTCCATTTGCAAGATGAATGCCACACTATTTTCCACCTTCATAAAAACGTAATTGGGTGGAGCTTGCAATGTTTATATTTATGATTCTATTAACGAAATGTAGATTTTTTTGGGAGGAGTACGATGCTTAGAATAAACTTAATTAAAGGTTTTTTTTTCTTCTATAAAAAAACAAGCGATAGCAAACCCAAGTAGGTTGCACATGTGCAGAATTCATTCTTAAAGGTAAGCAACTAGCTAAAAGGGTAGGTCACAGGAAAATTTTGTGATTTCTAAATGTGACTGGATTGCTGTTTTCCTCGTATTATTTTAACTATTATTTCTAGCCTTTCGTAATAAACACATTTCAGATGGTTGAGTCAGATAATGTACCACCAGATGTAGGCCTCCGCTTATGCGAGGAAGAAAGAACAATAATCTCTTGCCCTCTAAGGAAAGGGGAAAAAAAATCTTAATTTTACACTTGGCATGGGCCTCCGAGGGTCTGGACGAGTACACGATGTTAAAAGGGACTCGTTCAAGCTGCATTCGTCGATGGCACGTTTCACGTTTTCATATTTTAATTACCTTAACTGCATTAATAATACCAAAAGTCCAGTTTCGTCACGAAAAGGATATATTGCCCGAGGTCGTGTTCGAAATCGGAGGTTGTTACACCTGCCGAGTAGGTGGTGTCCTTAAGGATTTTACCCCGCCGACTCTCTCTCTCTCTCTTTTTTTTTTTTTTTTCTTTTTTTAAATCATTCCGAGCTTCGCTGTGACCCAAATGGGTCGTTCACGTGATTACATAAAAATCAGCTTTTTCCCACTGTTCCCGGGACCTTTCACTTCACTATAACACTATAAAATCCCTGAAAGGGAGGTTGCCGGCGAGTTTACTAATGAGCATTCCTTTCTTTCATCTCGTCATTTTTTAAGGAGATAAACAGTCAAACTGGTAAGAGTTCCTCCCGAAATCCATCATAAATCATTCCTGTCACGACAAAACAAAAAAAAAATTATTTTCTTCTTCTTCTTCTTCTTCTCTACCCTTTCCAAACGAGCAAATTAACCGCATTTTCAATATGGCAGCTGCAACAAACGGGTTTTAATAAGCTAAAATTCAAGTTGATTAGGGTCACAAGAATGTTTTCAGCTGGAAATTCTTCGTCACGAAATACCACCCAATCATCTACTAAAGTAACTATTCTCCGCTTGTATTTGCATAGTTTAAAGTAGTAAAGAAACCAATGCATCTCCAAACGGGCATTAACCTTAAACAAACTTTCATTTTCGAATTAAATTATACTCCAATTATCCTCGACTAGACCCAATTTTATATAATTCTTTTGTTAAGAAGGTAAAAACCTTCTGTTCTTAGATACTAGACTAAGATCTAATAGTTTTTTTAAAATAACCAATAAGAGAATAGAAATATACGTTTCCGTTACGTCACCAAGAAAAGAAGCCTATCGCGTGTTTTCAATGTTACAACGAAATACCAAAGGCCAAATTACATCATTCTCTCGCGTAGGCCAATACTGTACCACTATATATATCAAATTCCGCGTAATTTTTATTTGGTTTGTGATTATTACAGTAATTTAATCGTGACGCAATGTCAGCTATGTCTAATGTTATAGGTTAATGTAGTTTTCCGCATCATCTCTCTCCTCCCTTTTTTTTATTTTCCGCATCATTAACGATGCCCACATTTTTCAAATGTCCATCTCGAACCGGGGAATTCCGTACATTCTTCCTTAATTAACAATGTCTCTCTTCCTGTACGCCTTTCAATTCAATATTGAAATTTTCTCTGACTCGCCACTCTGGCGAGTAACGGTAATAGTGCATTATAAGTGTTGCGCGAGTGTTCTAAAATAGAATATTCAATAGGTCACATCTCCGTGTGTTACCGAACGTAACCGCTCTGTTAACAGACCACATATTCAAAAAATAAATTATCTTGAATTTAAAATATATTATTTTTATTTATTCTTCTCCTTTGAAAAGAAAAAACAAATTATCCAATCCGGAGCCCTCTTACTATTTTAAACTCCTATTTTAACGTTGTCGTTTTTGTAAAATTTATGGTAATTGGTTAAAAATTAAAACATTTTTTTTAGATTTTTATTATTTATTTTATTATTAAATATATAAGCAAAATTGTCGTAAAATTATTAATAAAATGTTTTATTTTAATAAATTTTAAAAAATAACGATTAATTTTAACATATTGACGATATCCAATAGGAAAATATTACACTAATCTAGTTTTTTTTTTCGTTTATTAATGAACTAATCTGTCATAGGCTATTAATTTTGAAATATTATTTTGATAATTCCGGTTTTAAATTGTTTTTATTTAATATTCGGTCATTTTAATTCCTATCTATTTAATATATTTCATTATAAATAATAATGTTTATGACTTCATATTTACCTCCAATAGCATGCAATTACATAAAATGAATTATCAGAATATCTATTTAAACAATATTCTAATTGATGATTAAATAGAATCCATCAAATATTATTTTAATGATGTAATAACAAATAAAAAAATATTTTATGAATTATTTTTCCTTTTTATATTAAATAATATTATTTATTAATTTTCACCAATCAGAAACTTCGTAATATATTTTCATCTTCTACACGTCATCAGTTCTATTTGAATTAATCTGGTATAAATTTTCTGTAAAGTTTTATTTATTATTATTTAATATTGTTTAAAAATTAGCAATTATAAATGTATTTAAAATTATTATTATTATTATTATTATTTTAATTATGCTTAACGAATCAAACTATCGTCGCTTTCCACGGTTGCTTAGCAACCATTAAAATTGTTTCCGATCACGTGACGGAATCGTAACAGCTTTCTTGTTTATTTTGAATAATTTATGGAGTTTTTTTTTAATTTACATTTTAAAATATTAGAAATATTAAATGACAACTCTACGATATAAAATTACCATAAATTTAAAGATTTAACAATGGAAATTTAACTTTTATGGCAATAGTGGGCGGTAAATGCTATTTTACGATTGGTCTGCTCGTCGGGGCATAAATGTTACAATGTAATCACGAAACGAACAGAGGAAACTAAAATCGTAAAACACGATCGTTAGTTTAAATTACATCATCATCAAATTTCGAATTAATCTTCCGCTTTTCTTCTTTTTTTTTAATTATCGTTACATGTAAAATATTACTCTTTTTTACACTTTCATTTAATAAATGTATCATCAAATAATCCCTATCACGTGTCATCATCAATTACCAATAATTTAACGTACTAAGTATCACGTGATTAATGGCAGCAAAAATTTAATATTTAAATAACCTTCCTCCAATCAATTTAACGATATTTTGCCACGTGATCGATTAGCAAACGATG